CGGTTACGGTGTTTTGGCCAGGTTCAAACCTCGGACTAATGAAAGGACAGGGTCCTCTCACTGCCACGTGCAAGTCCCAGCTGTGGTTGTAAGCTTGAACCTGTGGTCCAAACACATAGCCCCACGTGCCTTGTGATAGAGTTCGGGTGCATGTAGTTGAGTGAGGATGAAACTCACGAGAATGCTGTAAACAACGTGATCACGCCCCTACTTTGCCTCGTGGCACCTGCTATAAAATAAAGACACGGCTTGTGGGCGCTGTCGTCTCCTCATTAGGGAGGCAGCGTCCCACCGAGACCCAGCTATTATTCTCTTGTCTGTCTGTCCTTAATCCTTTCCCCCCCCCCCCCACTCGGGATCACCCTTGGTCCTGCTGGCGTGGCACACCCCTCCTTCCCTCTCCCCTCAGGCGCTTGTGGGCAGGGCAGGATGGGGTCAGCCTTTGGCCAGCAGCCTTCCACCTGTGATCTGAATCCATTCCCACTGCTGGTGAGGACAGGCCGGACCCAGGCCTGGCTGTCCTCTCTGGATGAGTGGGCATCTACCGAGACTGAAGGCCACAGGAGCCCAGAGCTGTCCCCCACCTGGGGACAAGTATCTTCCCTGACTGACCCTGCCTACCCCAGAGGAAAGGCAGCAGGAATGGGGCCCAGAAGGACCTGGGCCCCAGCGGGGGCAGGGGAAGGGTGTAATCCTGCCTTGGGAAGACCGGGGGCAGGTGGGGTTTGGAGAGGACAGTCCCTCCCAAGCCCAAGTGCCCCCTAGTCTTCAGGGCCTGTTGGCCTCCTGCTCACATAGGGGCTCCTTTGGGCAAGACTGGGTCCAACCCCTGGGTGTCCTCAGAAATAGGAGGGGGCAGAGGGGTCTAGAAAGAAGGGGACGCAGGCTGTTCCACCTCCTCCTGCTCCACTCAGACCTAGGCCTTTGGTCCAACTGTCCCGGCCTGAAGTCCAGCTTAGCCCTGTCCCCGCGGGGCTCCCATTACTCACCCCAGGGTTTGTTTAGGTGTCAGACCAGAAGCCCCTTCTCTGCCCCCGCCTCTCAACACTCCACCAACCGGTTCTGTTTTGGATCAGTGTCCTCTTCTCCCCAAGGACAAGGAGGGTCTTCCAAATCTTCGGGTCCCCAAAGCATAGAGACCCCCAGCCCACCCCACCACCCCACACAGGCCAGTCAATAGACACTGAGAAATGGCTGTGTGGGTGGGGCCGGCCCTGTGCATGTGTACTCGGGTGGCTCTGTGGCTGATGACGGTAACCGCTGGGGTGCAGGGCCAGGAGGCTGTGCAGACACACATAGCGTCCCCCAGCCCCCAAGGCCAGGCGGTTCTGGGAGTCCCCTCGGCCCAGACAGAAGCTCTGAGGATGGGGAGTAGGGGGAGGGGGGGGGGACTGTTGGGCCCCAGGTGCCGCCTGCACTGCTTACTGCTAATGAGAGCCCGGGGACATGGGGAGGGGGACGCACCTGCTCCACTGGGCGCCCCAGCCCCCCACCGGCCCCGCCCTGAG